GATAATCAGAGATTGTACGAGCGATACCCTCCACTCGTGAATGATCGGCAGCTCCGACGTTCACCAACGCGACGGTGGCGGCTCGCGCAAGCAAGCATAACATCAAAACTCGTCCCCGGTTCACAACGCCATCAGAAAATAAATGTTTAGCCACTTGGGAGAGTTTTTCCTCCAAATTGTAGAGCGATTTTTGTTGATTCAAGAAGGTCGCGAATATATCTGTAATGATAATAACATGCACATTGTGTAAAACTTTTTTTTTTACTTTTTTTTATAAAACAAAAATGGTTGAATAATGTTGGTTATAACCAACAGCACTCGCCTTTGTTCACGCAGCCAAACATGTTTGTATCGAGTATTATCTTAATGGACCGTAGAACGTGTTCGCGGGGAGGCTCTAAGGCAACACGATCCATGTTATTTGCATCCAACAACATCGCGCGTATAAACAAGTGTGTTTCTGCCGCTACATCCATGTCCCATTTGTTGTGAAATTTTAATGACACAATTTAATAAAGACGACGCGTACTTCGAGTGGGTTAGTTGTATATTTTTCTTTATTATCGAAACAACATTGTAAATACACATAACAACAACATTTTAGAAGAACTTGTGATGTTTGAGATGGTGTTTTTAAAGTCATACGTATTCCGCGCACAGCTCACTGTGATCGCTGTCTCTTTTATTTTCGTTAACCGCTGCGCGCACGACGCAGCTCTTGCCATCATACAATCCTTTGTCACATTTTTAATATCACATTCGGTTACGCGATAAAGCCTTTTCTGTACACCTCTCTTGTGCCACAATTTTCAACAGGTTTTTTTTGCAATCCTCGTGTAATGAAAAACACAGAGACGACACGAGACCGTCGCGTAAACAAGTAAAATCTATAGTAATAATGTACAGTTTACGTGCTCAAGTATGTATTATACACACGGGCGTGTCACCTGAAACCAAACCGATAAAACGGTCATTTTATTTCTTGATACTCGCGCTTTATTGGCAACTCTGCATACAGAGCGTACAATACGAACCAGCGATGTATCTCAATGCGTCGGTCATGTCCTTGCTAGGAAATGTCACAGAGCACACCAAACATTCTTTTTCGTCCAGCATACGTAAACACGTCAACACTCCGTCGAGTCCATCCTCATAGCCGATGTTCACAAGAAGCTTCGTTGTTTTTTCTACAACATCGTCTTCGGCGCCCGTGGTGTGTTTGACGGCGAACAAACAGGCGCTCATTATGCGTTGCCACCGGTAAAACCTCGTATAACCCTCCTCCAATTCCGTCTTGATAAAATACGAAACGGCGAGCTCCCGATGACCTTTTGTCGACGACGCGTCGTTCGCCCCGGCGAAATCGGGGTTCTGTTGAAGATATGTACAAATTACATCCACCAACCGTTCGAGGTCCGTCGTAAACAAATCCCCGTTCATCGTAATCGCTATCTTGCGCTCAAACTCGATGTGGGTTATTTCGTGTACAGGGAGCCTTTTCGTAAAACGCTGATATTCTTTTGACTCGCCTTTTATCCGCGGCAGTTCGGGGAATCGCTCGATATCTCTCGTGTTTGCAGCTAGGTTACTCGCAAACATTTTATTCGCCATAACCAGGCACGTGAAGGCAATTGAATGCATGTTGCGCAATGTGGACGATACGCGCTCGTCGTTGCCCGTGTATCGCGTTATATATCTGTCCATAAGGTCCAGAGCCGCGATTATACACTTGTTGTTTGTTGGAGACCTCTTGAAATACCACGCAAACCACGCAATCGTGCCTAATTTGTACGCGTGATATGTACTCTCCCATCTCCGTTGCTTTGTTGTTGTTTGCAACGCACAGTCACCTCGTCTCGTCTCGACATCCAGATGAATCCTAAGTAAATATTCGAGTCCGCGTCTGCCCTCGTCCGTTGGACATGAAAGCGGAATCGAGTCGTCATTATCGGCTTTTCTACTGGAATGTGCGTGGTTTGTAATGTTCATGGTTCCGTTCGGATTCGTTTTGGTCACCATCAACAAGAGAGACTGGCTTTTGTATCGAGTCCTTATGAAATACACGGTCGGGTAAATGTTACATGAGTCTACGAACAAACAAACTGTAACCCGAAACTCTGTCGGCGGAAAAGCGCAAGAGGCTTAACCGGAGCCGTGTTTGCGTATTTGGTCGCTGGGTGGACCGACCACGCGAGYCAATTTTAACTTGGTCGGTCGGCGGAAAAGCACAAGAGGCGTAACCGGAGCCGTGTTTGCGTATTTGGTCGCCGGGTGGACCGACCACGCGAGCCAATTTTAACTTGGTCGGTCGGCGGAAAAGCACAAGAGGCGTAACCGGAGCCGTGTTTGCGTATTTGGTCGCCGGGTGGACCGACCACGCGAGYCAATTTTAACTTGGTCGGTCGGCGGAAAAGCACAAGAGGCGTAACCGGAGCCGTGTTTGCGTATTTGGTCGCCGRGTGGACCGACCACGCGAGCCAATTTTAACTTGGTCGGTCGGCGGAAAAGCACAAGAGGCGTAACCGGAGCCGTGTTTGCGTATTTGGTCGCCGAGTGGACCGACCACGCGAGCCAAGTTTAACTTGGTCAGTCGGCGGAAAAGCACAAGAGGCGTAACCAAAAGCTCACACGCGTGATTGGTTGAAGTAACTATATAAAAAGCAACAACGATCTACACGGTCGGTATAGTCACACAAGCTTCCAGTGTAACGTTATAGTCGGTCGGTTATATGTAGCGAAGTATTGATTTAAAAGGATCGCTCGCTTAAGACGCGGCTTATTTACACAGATTGCACCAACCGTGACAGTAGAACCGGTTTTGGTAGAAAGAGTCTAGCAGTTTTATTAKATGTGCTCCTGTGATGATTAACCCGTTATAGTTGACAACCGCCACTTAAAGGATTAAACGATGAATAGAATCCGTTAAAGGAGGAGTTATACCTTTTGTTTCTTTCTGTATAAAAACGGCTCCAACATACCGTGACCAGATCAGTAACGCGGAGACAGAAGCGGTGCAAACATCGRAAGAMGATACCAAACTCAGGACCCAACTACAAGACAATCACCCATGGCAAGCTACAATAACGTATACGGACAAGATACGCGCGACCACAACGGCGTTCCTGAGGTTATTCGCAACATGGCCCAACGAAGACGACAACTGAACAACGAAGAGCCGCGAAGAAGGTGTGTTTATATTGATTGAAGTCTTATATGCGCGCATATAGTTTTTCTTAAAAAAAATTGTTCTCATTTTATTCWGCGCGAGCATTACATCCTCTCTTTTTTTTGTTTATCGTTTACAGTGCATATGCACAGCACCCCAACACGGTATACCCAAATCCTGGTCAGCCTCAACAGCATACATATAACGTAGATGTTGTTTGTGACCAAGGGAGGCAACAAAGACCAACGCAACCACCATCGCAACAATCTATGTTTACGGCCGCCGCGCAACAGACGGTTGTTGCACCGCCGCACCCTTACACCGTTGCTACCAACAACTGGGAATACCCTGGTCAATATCATCAACAGTATTACCAGCAGCAYATACCACCACCGGACCAACAACATCATCTCATGTACGGGCAACAGCAGGCACCGCGGCATSTAACGAGAGATTATAACAGAAGACGACTTCATTATCAGGCACGGCCTCGCGATAGTAGATATTACACAGATCACCGTGTTGACAAGAGTGATCGCAGTAGATACAACGGCGATGGTAGATTTAACGCGCAACAAGACAATCGCAACATCAGACCGGCTCAGTCGTATACGCGACACGGTCACCGGACATCACCACCATCGCGACGCGTTGAAAGCAGCGGACCAACAACAACTCCTGTAAACAACCCGACCACCTCTTCAACATCACAACACCAAAGGAGAGGTTATCAWTTAAAACGGCAACATTTTGAAACAACAAAGACCCAACAACGTCAGAGCGGTACAGCATTAGAAAAATCAACAACAAGGCAACAACAAAGAGTTGAGGAGACGACGTCGCATATACATCGCCGCAAACGCAGCTGGTTAAAACCACAATCGAGTAAATACGAGGAGTCATCTTCCAAACGCATTGTTACCCCGCGCGGCAATAGAGAGCACGCGTCTTCTTCCGATAGCTCAGCAACATCAGACTCGTCCGACGATGACGAACCCGCGCCAAAAAAACCCAAGTCTGTGGTGTCGCGTAAAGCGGCAAAGCTTGATACAAGTACATCTGAATCATCATCCTGCTCATCATCATCATCATCATCATCGGACTCTGACACTGATGACGATGGCTCCGGTTCAGAATCATCTTCATCATCGGATTCCGATGATGAGCAACATAAAGAAGACATAACATCTCAACCTTCGACATCAACGCGTTCAAACAAAAACGGACCAGACTCATCGGATTCGGACGACAAACAAAACGACCAACATCATCATCATTTATCACCCGCACACTCCCCGCAAATTCAATTGGTTTTCGACGACGTAACTGACACTAGCTCGGAAGCGGCAGAGTATGATGACATTGAGAAGAGCCTCGTGGTCAATGGAGACACAAACGATAAACAACAAATGTTAAAAAAACACATGATCAAAAAAAAAAGGTCCAGTAAAGAACTTCTGACCAAAGACAACATTTTACCAACATCACGTTTTAACAAAAAACAAGAATCTTCATCAAGTTCTAAGATAGTAACAACGTCTTCCGTAAAAGTCCAAGTTGGATTACAACACATCCCTTCAAGCGACGCTACGGAGCAAATCGACAACAAGTTGTTGAAATCGGCAAACGGTCCTCTTATACAAAATAAAGACAAAGAAACAACAACAACGACGGCCACAGTCTCAACATTGCAAATGGTTGACGACGAGCAACTCGTTGGAACAGATGAAGATGTCGCATCAAAAGAAGCAAATAAAACACAATATTGTCTCGAGGAGGAGGATGATGGAATAACCATTAAAAACAGTAATGTTTCAAATATACAAACGGACGACATTCTACGAGATATGCGTTCTATAATTGAAGAAACTAGCGCTATGTTTGCGCAGAAAACAGAAGAGATGTCCGGACCGGAAAAAAGAGAAAATCAAGAACAAGAAGCAAAAAAAGATGTGCGCTTTGAAAACCAGAGCGTATTGTAAGTTGAAAAATTTATAATTAAGAGAAGTTTTAATCAATGTATTTTTATATATAAAAAACCGTTTATCTTATTTTCCTCATTACAGAACTCTRACGACGCCTGCAACGGAGACCGGTTCAAGTGAAATTAACAACGGAGAAAGATCATCTGCGATTTACAACATACAACCGCCGCTGTCTACTATGTAAGAAGAGCTCGCTGTTTTCAATAGTTGTTTATGACATGTGCAATAAAATGGTTTTTTTTAATAACAAAAACAATTATCTGTTACATACAGGCCAACGGCATCTTTTGACTTGTCCCCTCACCAAGACGTGGCGTTTGTGAACAGATTCAACGAGCTCTTTGACCAGAATGTGCAGGATAACGAAGATTATATGTTCAATACGTCCGGGGAAATCAATGAGAAAAAATCCGAGGCTGTCGGAGGAGGAGGAGGCGATGACGCCCTGTTGTTCCAGAATAACATTTATTTTGACACACCACAACAGAGCACCAACAACGATGACGACGCGGCTGCATCGCATGCTACTGTTATTATTAGACAGACAATCGACAACCCACTCACAATTCAACAGCAAGTCTACTACGATCCACTGGAGGCACTCCTTAGACCCATTATTGATGTATTTCCTCCCTCACCGCCACCGTCTGTTACCGTAAACAACACAACAGAGAACAACAGCAACAGAGCTGCTGCCGAAAACATCGGCGTTTTCTATCCACCGCAACCGGTTGCGGAAACAACCAAAGAATCTGTTGTTACTACAGATTCACCAACAACGGTTCAACAAGAAGATGTGTTCAAAAACAACCCAAAACAACACGGCGACTCTACGGCAACTAGTAACGTTTCGTTTATTCAACAAATATTATTTGAGTTTAGTCGATGTTCCCTGTGCGACTGCACATTCAACGACAGTTTGATATGCAATATAAAATATACAATTGGGTTCAATCAACCGATGCAGCTCACRTGCGGATGCGTCGTCTGTACGAAATGTTACAACGCCGCCAACAATCAAAACCGGATGRCAACGTGTAAATCTCACAACATCAAGATGAAAACCGGAATAGTCAACACAAACGCGAACCTCCTCGCGCATTGGCAACAYGTGCACACAGACCACAAATGGAACATGATACTCGACGGAGACACGGGTGCCTCAAATGCTCGAGTACAAGCTATGTTGGATCAACCCGATGTGAACTTGTGCGAAGGTATGTTTTTTATTAAATATTTCTGTAATAATATGTTATACAAAATAAAAAGATAATAAATGTTTGTTGTTTTATGTTGTTGCAGTGTTTAATGTTCTACTGACCAACGRAGACCGCGTGTCATTCAGATGGCCAATCGACACGCCGCTAAATATCACAGAAGCGCACAGATATGTCGCAATTCCACACACGCGAAACTTTTGGAATCACATCGCAACCGGATCAAAGAAACCTACAAATGTGACCGATATGCTGGAACCCGACCGGARCCTGTGTAAGCTGTTCAACGTCGCGATGGACAAATATACTTTTCATTGGGCRTGTTTTGTGTTTACAACTCAGGTAATTTTGATCATGTGGTGYCAAGATGAAGAAACTAATGTGCAGCTAACACTGACCGAACTGCCGGCGGTTCTCGACACTCAGGACTTTAGATTGATGATATATTTCCTGACCAAGTGGGTGGAATAYGCTTACGGGTCCGTCAATTTTGTTCTCGACGCCGCTCCGTGTGAAATGTTACCATCTCTTGCCGATGTTGTTACGTGGATCGCGGCAAAATGTCACATGAATACCTCGCTGCGCAGTAACGAGGTACCATCGTTCAACGTTGGGAAAGTGCGTCGATTGCGCATCGGTGGCCACCTCAACAGTTCGTTGGCCGACGAGTTCTTTCTGTACCCCAGAGTGTCGGCGGACAACAACGAAATTGTTGATATCATGCAAATATTCACCAGTGTACACGGGTCAGGCGATTACGGTGATGTGAGCATGCAGACAATGACAAGCAGATATGGCATTATGTCTTAAATGTTGCAAATGAGATTGATGTAAACAAGACGCGTTAATTTCTTACTGTTTTTTTACATGAAGGCTGATCATTTTTTTTATATGTGTTTTATTACGAAAGTATTATATTTGTTTACATTTTAATACTCATATTCCTAATGTCATTTATAAGCACTCAGTAAAAATATATATATATATATTTTATAATTAGACTAACATTTAACTGACCGCAATGACGCGAATGAAATGATGATTTACTGTTGGTGGCGCCTTGCTGATTCTACCATTGGTGCCTTGTTGCTATGTTTTTTATATATTTTTTATTCATTTTTGTATGCAATATATATGTTTTTTGTGGTTTATTTTTTTTCATTGTTTTTTATATACTAAACTATTAAACGAAATCACCGTAATAAAACGTTGTTGTCTTGTTCTTATTTTAAATACTTGAACAACCTATTGCTTAGGGGAAAAAACAACTACACACATATATAAAATGATGATTGAGAACGACGCAAGCCAGTATTATTATTGGTGGTGGCCAACAACAGATAACAACAACGACTGGATACGAATATCTCTAATAGCTGCGCCTATTATGGTGGTAGTTGGTGTGGCCGCGGCGATATCCTACAAGATCTTGAGTCGCCGTAAATATATATATAGTGTATGTAACCCAACTCACACCGGTTACGATTCTGTGTATATGCCAACCACATGCGCAATGACGGAACAGAGCACGTGTGAAATACAACCTCAAGATTCGTCGGTGTTATCATCCTACCATCATCAAGAGAAGGAACAGGAACAACAACAACCCGGCGCTTGAGTGCAGTGACTCTAGAGGATGGAGGAGTTCACCATCTTCCGGTTCCCTACACCCAGGAACACTTTTTTTTTTGTTGGAAACAATAAAAACTAATATCAGAAACGACATTGTGACTCCATTGAGAGAAATAAACAAAAGCTGTGATCCGATGAAAAAAAAATTCGCGCTGGTGGTTTGGTATATTAATTGGTTGTGTATGTTGTATTTGGCAGATAATTTTTTTGTGCATATAAATAAATGAAACCAACAGCGGCGTACTCTACATGTCTTTATTAAAACACTATTTATCACAAGATAAAACAGTGTATTTGTTTTTTTATACATAATTTCCAAACGATCTTTTAAATTTATGTAGCTCCACAGTTTGTTTGTAAGTTTGCATACAAAGACGGACCGTACTATAAAGACAACACGAGCATAGATATGCGGCCACTAGAATGACCAAAACTAAACTCCAATAACAAAAACGGTGGTTGAAGTCTTCGTGACAACAGATAGTCGCGGTACCGTTGCTTGCGGTACCGTTGCTTATAACTTGACGGAGGTCCATCGCGTCTCTCTACTCGGTTGTCGTGTCGCACCGTGCGCGGTAAAACAACGCTTTCTTTGCAGCCAATTGTTTAGCCTTCTCTTTCTTCTTGTTTTGAGCTGAAACATAAACAAACACAAACATGATGCTTAATGACACGTTATATATGATGATGGTATCAACGGGTCGGGAAAACATACCCGTTACAATAACGACGTCGTCGCATCCGTCGACCAAGGAGCATTTACACTCGCAWATAAACACACCAGAATTCGGGCGCCTCGTGAAGAAGTTATATTCTGGTACTAGTTCGCTATTTTCCTAAGGGAAAAAAAACATACGTTAATAACGCGCACAGTTGCATTATTTCTTATAAAAAATGTATTTTTTTGACCATTCTATTTACCTGTAASACGCTGATATAATCTTCCGTCGGTATAGAACGGACCTGTTGTTGTAATACAGTTGTTTGAACGTCAACGATCGGAGCACCTCCGGCGTTTATATCTTCTTCAGACTCCGCGTTGCGTTCTCCTTTTTCGAGTTGCAGCAACATCTCCTGGGCCGCGTTACTTTTAGCCGCCCGTTTCGAAGAATCCTCACCAAAGGTCGTCAAACATGTACCGCTTAACACTAGCTTGACTGAAATTTCAAGATCCTGAGGACAAACCCCCTCCTTCTTCTTAGCAATCTGAGGGCTATTAGTGGCCTTTTGTTCGACAAATTCCTGCAGGTAATCCAGACAC